CAAAAGGAACCAAGAACATGGCCCTCCTCCACCTCTCTGAACTGCCCAAAGTATGTCCTGCTGCCAGTGATTACCTCTCTCCGTTAGGACTCCAGGAGTGCTTCTGCTAGGCAAGTGGTCTTACACAGAATGTAAGGTTAACCACAATGGAAATGACCTCTGAACTCAGCTCCTCTCCCCGACTGCTCGATCTGCCTTCCTTGGCAGCACCTTCTACTTTACATCTACCATCAATATTAATCTACCGTATGTCCTATTCCCTAAGGGCTTTGTGTCTGCCAGGTGACAAGAGGTACCAGTGTTTCTTCTCCGAGGACTAGCCAGGCTTCTGACTTTACCCATGCACGGAAATGCCTTAAATCCAGTGCAAACCCAAAAGCCAATCTAACTGCCTACTGCATGATTTCTAGCATGAATGTATCCAACTTCTCCTTCCACGTACCAAGTCCCTCTTAGGATCAAGAATTATTTTTAATGAACAGTAGCTACAACATGGATGAACCTTGAAAACATTACACTAAGTGAAAAGCCAATCACAAAAAAACACATATATTATATAACTCCATTTATATGAAATGTCCAGAATAGGCAAATCTGTGGAAACAGAAAGTAGATTAATGGTTGCTTCTGGCGGAGGGGGTGGAGGGGATGGGAGGAATTAGGGATCACTTGTAAGGTACAGTGTTTCTTTTGTGGGATGATAAAAATGCTCTAAAATCAATTGTGGTGGTGATTTCACAACCCTATGCATATATTAAAAGCCATTGAATTGTGTGGCAGGTGAATTATATCTTAATAAAGCTGTTAACAAAAAAGTTTTTTTTTAATGTGCACATTATTTTACCATGACTACCTATTTTACACACAGGATAATCTTAGCAATCAATCAGATATTGCCAAGTGTCAACTAAAAAAAAATCCTTTGTTGAACAAACAGATGGAGTTTGCTTTCCAAGTAATATGCTTGATAAAGTAGCAGCATAGTTACTTAGGCTATATATAGGTATATATATAGGTATATATATAGGTATATAAGGGCTGGGGAGAAAATACACCACCCTTGGCTTCCCACACATCATCGTGGGTCTCACTTGTTTTCTGGGATATTGTTGAGCACACTGCTGTGTCAGACTCCTGGTACAGCTTGCAGATGCAGTTCGCAGATGAGCAGGAACATGTTTCTCGTATTTGTCTCTAGACAGACCCCATCTGCACTGACATCCTCTTAGTGTCCCCTCCTGGCAACAGAGCCAGCATGCCATGTGCACCTTCCTTAGCTGGGCACATGGGCCAGCACGTGACTCCTTTGGTGAGCATGAAAAAGGAAAAAGATGGAGACACGGAGCGAGGACAGCAAGAAATGGTTAAGTTCTCCAGGAGAATTGGTCAGTGTGTGATGGTGTCAAGTGTGTTCAGTAGCCTCAGGAGAATCCCCATCTCCCTGTTGATGTGTGGGATGTTACCCCCTGACAGAAGCTATTTAATGATGCATAATGGACTTCAGCACAATGATTGATGTATGCCTGTAGTGACTGTAGTAGGTGCATAAGATTACTCCAAGTTAATATTTTAGAGAAAAGACAGAGACAAGTGGATGTACTGGATAATCATGTAAGCAACTGCTACCAGTTTAAGTAGATTTCTGTAGAAGTTTTTATGGTTTAACTGAAGACATATTTAATCACTTATTTGTCATTCTAGGAGAAGTAAGAGAGCAAAACAAACCACCCACCACACTAGCAGTCAGAAAATGGAAGGAGCCCATTCAACTCACAAATGGAACTATTGTAGGGTTCCCGGGTTCACAGAAACCTTAAAGTGAAACAGTTTGGCCATCTACATAAACTGGAGGTACAGGGAAGAGGAAATATTCAGTATCCTGCTGCCAGCACCAAAAATGGTGGTGAGGCAGGGGGAGAGATGGTGAGGATCTGCATATTTTCACTCTAGTCAACTTTCTCCAGTGCCCCCAAGGCAGGTCCCACAAGCAACACAGTGGCCAACGGTGTCACAATTGGTTCTCACATGTGACCTGCACCGCTTTCCCCCTCTTCTCTGCCATCTGTACTTGACACCAAGAACTCAAAGTCTTTGCTCAACTCCATGTAACCTCCAGGCATTAGAGATCAAGATTAGCTTTCCTGACAACACTGACTGAGATGTGTGCACCATCTGCCTTTACCAGAAGGACGCCTGTTTTGATAATTGGCTTACTTTGCTGTTTCAAGCTTCCTTTATGTATTTTAAGTCTGTGTTTCAATGCACACACAAGCATATGTGCACACAGTCACACATACTAATGTAAGATGGAGAAACACCCATGTGCTACAGTGGTTATCTCTGTGGTAGAGAATTGATGGGTAAATTTGGTTTTTGCTAATTTGTATTGAGATGTTTAGCCTTCTCAGGCACATGCCAGGGCTTCAAGCCTACCCATCTGCAGGTTCCAGAAATAACCCTCCTCCCGTGTGTTCTTCAATGTCAACTTACAGCCGTGATCTTCAAAAATTGTGATGCCACCCATCAGAGGAAACACAGGCCAGACACTATGGTTTCCACATGAATGATCTGATCCATGCCTTCTAGGCTCACAGGTAGTTATAATGCAGATAATAAGAGTTGCCGTTGGGGAAGCCCAAGGAATGAGAGCACCCAACCTGGACGTGGGCTGGGGGGTGAGCAGGAAGGCTTCTCAAAGAGTTTCCCCTTTGAGGTTTTGCACAGAGCCTGGCCCCATGTCCATCACACTATATGCAGATGATCATCTATTGTCTGTTTCCCCACTATTCTGAAAGCTTCCCCAAGAATCTTCATTCTTCTTTATGGCTGAATAATATTACATTGTATGGGTAGGTCACATTTGTTTATGCATTCATCATTTGAATCTTATTTTGAATATTATGAGTAATGCTGTTTTGAACATTCTTGTGCACAGTTTTTGTAATGTACACGTGTTTAATTCTCTTGGGTATATACCCAAGAGTGGTATTGTTGCATCATCAATAACTATGTTTAACCTTTTGAGAAACTGAAAACTATTTTCCAAAGTACATTTTACATTCCTACCAGAAACATATGAGGGTTGCAATTTCTGCATGTCCTCAACATCATTTGTTATTGTCTTGTCATTTTTATCATAACCACCCAGAGGATGGTCAGTGGTACACCATTATGATTTGAGTTTGCATTTCCTTCCAATGTTGTTGAGCATCTTTTCATGTCCCTTCTTTCATTTTCACCTTTTTTTCTCAATGAGAAAGTTCTAGTCAAAACTGGAAATACAGAACTCAGTTGCTTACACATATGCTCCAAAGGAAGAAACCATGTTTTATTTATTTTTATATTCTCAGCACCAAGCATAGTGCTAAGAACATAGTAGATGCCAAAATGGTGCTTTCTGAATTCATGAATAGATGAATGATTGAATTAAAACACAAATCATTATAGTTCCCCCATTTTTTTTTGCCCAAGTCCCTCCCACAAATCTCTTTTTTAAAATGTCTGATGAGTTTGGAACTCTTTAAGTGAATTCAACAAATGAATCATGGTTTGCATGATGCAAAAGTAAACTAAGAAAAGCTGTGATATTTAAAAAGATAATCGTGCACATTACCACATCTCACTTTAAAGTTTTTATCTCCCTCCCAAGAAGGGCACTTTTCTAAAATTATGTCTGAGCAAAGTAATTTCTAAGAAGCTGTGAAAAGGGTTCATTTTCTTCTGTTTTCTTTATGGCTTTTTTCTGAAAAGTAAGCCCTCGGTGACCTAGTTTAATCTATGAAAATGTCATGGTAAAACATACAGTGAACCGTCTGTCATTTTAACATGGCTAATCTTTATTTAAACCAGGAAGAGTTTACTAAATCAAAGGATTTTATAAGGGACCATGACCAGGAGAAAGAATGATTTGATTTCCTCAGCCTCTCCCATCTCCACATACCAATCAGGACTTGTTTTGATTTTTGGTCTCATATAAAGCTATGTGCTTCTTCAATAAACTGTTGATACGTGTGAAGCTGAATTTGGCCTTCTGAGTCAGGTTCATGTACTTGAACATTGTCTACAAGGAAGGGAAAGAGTCAAAGATAGGTGGGGAGTAAACTGCTTCTGTTTTTGTTTTTAAACTTCTGTTTCCTGAGTCAAGCAACGTAAACCAATACGCTAATAGTACACTAACAAAGAAAATTAACATAGTCAGATTTTCTTTTTCTCCTAGTAAGTAGAACCTCTGCTATTTCACACTCTGTAGTGTGTTGGGGCTGTGTATCATAATATCACAAGTTTACCCAATTAATATTTTTCAGATAGCTTTATTCACTCTATTCAAAGTTAATTGTCAATTTTTCAGAAGAAGACCAGCATTACTTACACTGGAGGACCAGCAGTTAGGAGATGTGGGTTTAGTCTCTGCGGTTAACTGCTGGTGTGACCCGCAGGAAGGCCAGACCTCCCGAGATCTCAAATGGGCCTGGTGATCTGCCAAGACCTTCCCAGCTGTAGAGTTCTCAGAATGGATTGCCCAGTGCCTTAATTCCAAAGCGGATCAAGGCTTCTAAGACCACCTTCTGAAAAGAGACTGTGTTACCCAGAACCCAGAGCACTCCAGGTGCCTCCAGTCCTGGCCTCTCTGCGTGGTTCACTGGCTCCAGCAGCCTGTTGGTGCTCTGTCCCTACCTGGACAGTAAGGGCAATCACACCTATTTCTAAGGCATTCTGGGCCTAATATTAACTCTCTACCTGTGACATAAGGCACTAGATAAGTACAGGCCCCTGAGGAATTATGTTAAGTCAGGGAAAGACTTTTTTAAATTTTTCTTACCTTCTCTATTTAAACTAAATGATCACAAGAAGCAAACCCTAAACCAAAGATGGTAATAAAATGTAAAAAACAAGGCAGCCCTGCCCCCTCCCCGCCCCACTGCTCTCCTGCCCTCCTCCTGGCTGTGGTGTGGCTTTGTCTTTACCAGGTTTCCTCACGTTCCTTTTCCCCTCGTTCACAGGGTACATCCCCAGCTACTTAGACAAGGACGAGCTGTGCGTAGTGTGTGGGGACAAAGCCACCGGGTATCATTACCGCTGCATCACGTGTGAAGGCTGCAAGGTAATTGCCGTGGGGCCGGTGAGCCTGGAGCCCAGCCCAGCTGCAGACCCCTCCCAGGATCCTACCAACATGCAGCATTAAATTTAAGTTCAGCTCAGAACCAAATTCCAACATTCGTGGCCTGTGATTAGCCGAGTGTCCAGTTGTCCTCCTCATTGTCTGGCGTGTTTAAGAGCTGAGTTTGTTTATTTATTTATTTGTAAATCAAAAATAACTCAATAAAATTTTGTGAGTGTAACACCTGGTTTCTTAGGCAGGGAGTCAAATAATAGAATGAAAAGAAATTCATAAAATTTTCACTTTGAGTTTAGAAATGCATAGACATTTTATAACACGTTGTCATCCCAAGGAATAACCCTCTCTTCCTGTCTTATCTCCATTGTTTAAGGAAGCGGAGTTGTCTCTACCATAGGGTGTTTGCCAGTGTTAATCTGAGTGGATAAGCTCACTTTTAAGGCTTCCATTTAGGATCTTTGAGGCTACTTAGATTCAATTATGTTCTGAAATTATCTAAATGGGCTTTCTGCACAGCAGTTAATAAGTAAATTCTGGTCATCCATCAGCTAATGTTATGCTCTAAAGTCCTAACTTTGAGATAGTTGACGAGACTACATCAGTGACCAACAGTCAGCTCACTTCCCAAAAACAAGCCTAAATTTGCCTATTTCCAGTCTTCATCATCAAAATTAAGCTAGGTTTTCTGGTAAATATCTCTTGGTCCAACAACCTTGCCAGGAAAATAAAGTTCACCATAAAGGTAAATAAAGCTTAACCTAGTGGGATACCCAGCAGTCAGCTAATGTCTTATAAACAAGGAAGTATATTAAGTCAGGAACAGACTTCTAATGTTTTTTCTTGTTAAATGTTTATTTACCTTTTATATTTCAAACTAAATATCACAAGATCTAAACCCTAGAGCAAAAATGTATTACAATGTATAAGACAATTCAGTCCTTCTCTTCCATCACCCACCTTATGTTCTCTCCTTCCCCTCCTCCAACTAGCCCCTTTCCTCTTAACCTTTGACCCTAGACCCCCAAAATTAACATGTTATCTCCTTTTCAAACTAAGGTGCCCCAGTTTCCCTAATAGAAGATTTACCATGCAAATTCCCCACTTTTTGTGCATGAGGTCAGGAGACACTTAGCAGAGGCCTGCTAAAAGTGTTGAGATGATTTATTTCACTGGAAAGAGGTCATTCTTAAGGGTCCCAAGGCCTCACACCTGTAAGACTGGTTTTTAGAATAGAATGGAATATGCTCTCATTCATTGAAACCCCTTTGGTCTGGAATTTATAACCTTTTAACAAAAAATTGAGCTAAATGTTGCTATTACAGCTATGAAAATAATGAGCAGAAGGAATTTAATGGAACTAATTACGAATATGTCCTATTTATTAATTGGGAGACTTGCAGGCTGTCTCTTAAAAAGCACAGTTTTATTGGCTTGATTTGAAAGTAATAAAAGTACATTCCTTTTGATACATTCTCTCATTCCAAAAGCTCAGTGATTCCATTGGACCTTTTTTCTAAATTAGCCCCAATTCAGAAGGCTTTACCTACCTGATTATGTAACACTGAGATTCTTTCAAATCAGTTGCTAATGGTAAATCTGAATTCTGGGAGAGACTCTAATGAAAATTCCATTTAATATTCAGCTCCCGAAGTGGCTCTAAAGACTGAATGTGCTTTACAGACAACTTAATGCTTATTAGCTCTTGACTTAAACAAAGAGAGAATCAAGCCTATTAACTCATGTCCCTGCCTAGCATATGTCCTCATGATGATCAAGAAATCCATTAGCCTCTTTTCCCAAGATCACAGGATGTTTAGGGCCTGCTTCAACAGAGCTCTGTTTAAAAGAAGAAATCATGTAGCAAAAAGCTAGATTTCTCAGCAGCTGTGCCCTTATCTCAGATCAGAATCCTGTTTCTAGGATTGTCTCAATCATAAACCCAGAGAGAAGCCTTCCTAGGCTGGTGGTGAAGATCATTTAATGTAAAAACAAAGTATCTTAGGAAAAGATAAAGGAGTTTTTCAAATGAAACGTGGTTTTTTCACAGTGGCCAAAGATGAAGATGGTTACACTTCCAACTTGTGATTTAAAAAAACATTTCTACCCCATACTTGCAGTGTATACAGGGAGAATCTTTTTTGCCCAGTTTTACCTCGAAGACAGTGGAAATCTTTTGGAGATGTTTTGTCTGTTGTGATGGGCTGGTTTTTATGTGTCTTATGCAGAAAGAATGTTTGTACTGCCTCACAATTAACCATTTTTTTTAAAGAAAGACTCAGAGTTTTTAACAGTTGCTCAAATATTGAAAGAGAATGACAGCTCCTTGTTGCACTGATCAGAGCATCAGCTCAGACCCCTAAGAAATGGATCCAGTTCTTCTCAAAATACAGAGAAACACATCTTATGTTGATTTATAAAAGCAAAACCTCTGCTCACCAACAAATCAACAATGAAATACATGCCCTTACTCCCTGCAACATCTTTTTGTCAGCTCAGCTCTAAAAAGATTTTTTTTTGTAAGTAGACCATGTTAAATACTTTCTATCCAAGTTCACTTCTAGGAGCTAATTTTTGTCACTTTTTAAAATTAAGGGACCTAGCATCTCTACATTTACTCAAATGCAGTGGCCCCTCATCATGTGTGCAGACATGTTTTATTGTAGCATAGGGGAGGCCACCATCCCCTGAAGTGCCCCAGAAAAGCCATCAGAGATAAGCCACGTAAAAGATGGCACTGTGAGTAGCAGAGACTACTACCTCAAGACTTTTTTTGTAATAAGCCATGTATAAACTTTTTCGTTCAATCCATTTGAAAGTTCACAGAGCAGCCACTTTGGAGGAATGGGTGCTACTCCTGTGTCTGGTAGACCACACCTCATTCTCTCCTTACTGTCCTCTGACTGTTCAGTAAGCTCCCTTCATCCATAATGAGTCAATGTCAGAGTTTAGGGATGGAAGGGGGTCTCAGACTTCAGACAGAGGAATGCTCTTCCAGTCCTCATAGCGGCAATCAGCATTCTCGCTGGATGCCCTAGACTAAGGTCTTTCCACCTCTAGGGAAATTCTGCCTCCTCCGGAAGAAGTGTGCTTCCCAGCCCCTCTCCTCCCTGTGGAAGGAATGGATGGGCAGAGGTTAACAGTAGGGGAGGGAGGTTCACAGGGAAGCGTGTTTTCCTCTCTGGCAGCATGCCCTGACATTCATGCTTTGGCAGGATTTGCCCATCTTGAATACCCAAGAAAATGCTGCCAACATGTCAAAGAGCTGCCCCATGTGTGATTTAGTGAATCTTATAACAGTATATCAACATCATCAAACACTTGGACATGCTACTCAAGTTTTGCAACCACACTTTTGCTTTGTAGCAGTTAATGCAGAGAACATTTGACGTGAGGGCACATTGCAAAGTGCAGACACATTCCATATCCTTCTGTCCCTTCTACAACCTTATAAAGCAGATACTCAGAATATCTCCCCTGTCTGGATTAAAAAACAAAGCCTAAAACAGGTTAAATCCCTTGCCCCAAATTGCATGGTAAGTACACATTAGAACTTGGCTTGGAACCCAGGAGTTGGACTCATGTGTTTAAGGATGCAAAATACAAATGATATGACAGCTTTTCTGTTAAAACTTGAGCAGCAGAAATGATAAGGGACTTGCACACATGCCCCAAAATTCAAGTCCATGAATTTCAGTTATTGCTGTCATTTTTCCATTTTATTCTGCTTTGCCCAATGTAAAATCCTACCTTTGACCTTTTCATTATGAGAAAGAGCTGTTGTCTGAATGAGGAATATGCAAATGAAATGTATGCACATAATCAAGGCCAAGAAAAGTTAAAGAAGATAATTAAAATTTGTGCTTAATCTAGGTCAAATGGTATTTCAGTCCCACCATGTAAGTAACAAAGTTAGAGGTCTCCTTTAAGCTTTAGTAGACAAAAACTTTCAAAATTCATTTTGCCTTGTGATTCTACAAAAACAGATAAAATGAAGTGTGGTTTTTTTTGAGGGGTGGGTGGAAGGGGACTATTTATAATTTGTTCATTTAAAACACTTAAATAATACAGTAAAATAAGCTGGATTCAGCTTATATGATATAAACACTTAAGTAAATAAGATTTTGAATCCAACTCCTGAGTTCCAAACCAAGTTCTAACATGTACTTACTATGCAATTTGGCACAAGTCATTTAGCCTGTCTTAGGCTTCATTTTTTAATCCAGACAAGGGATATATTATGAATACCTGCTTCATAAGGTTGTAGAAGGGATAGAAGGATATGCAATGTGTCTACACTTTGCAGTGTGCCCTCACGCTAAGTGTTCTCTGCATTATTAACTGCTACAAAGCAAAAGTATGGTTGCCAAGACGAGCAGCATGTCCAGAAAGGCTCTGGTATAACTCACCCATGAGAATGTTATTTAAGTCACCTAAACTATGGTGTCCACAGAAAGCTTCACAGTGGCACTCTCCCATGTCTATGAAAGGAAGAAATATTGACCTTTCAGGTCTGTGTCTATGGATACTGGAGAAAAAGAGTGCTATGAACCCAGTGTACACAGCTCTGGGAGAAGTTTGGTAGAGAACCTGGAATCTTTGCTTCCGACATACTATTGTTTCAAGGCCTACCTGAGTTGGTCATGGCTGGTGTCCCTTGGACCTCTGGAACCATCTGCCCACCTCACTGGAACACAGGCTGGGAGGGCAGATACCTGAGTTGGTCATGGCCATCCCAAGAATTAAACTAAACCTCTAAAGGCAGTTAATGCATCCAGATAATTACTGAATGATTAAATTGTTAATAAAATATCACAGGTATCCAGCTATTTTATTCACCAGTGTGAAGTGTCACAAACTTGTTCATAGCTTAATTTAGTAACACAATTATGGCAATTGGTGAAATGAAGTAAGACAATTTATATAAAAGTGAACCACTAGATTCTTCCCATTAGTCTCTTTCCCTTGAATAAATCCCAAAAAGATACTGACTGTATAGTCCTATGACATCTCCTTCAGCTCAGATTTAGAACTCTTTAGAATCACTTGGGGCCAAGTGATTGTCCTGTATTTGACTAGGTAGAGCTACAGGCCCATACAGGTCCAACACAACCCATGGCAGTCCTGTGGACACAAAATTTATTTCTAGAAAATGTGAAACTGTTGTCTTGGATCTTTCTTTTTCATATAGGGCTTCTTCAGAAGAACCATTCAGAAAAATCTCCATCCATCCTATTCCTGTAAATATGAAGGAAAATGTGTCATAGACAAAGTTACACGAAATCAGTGCCAGGAATGTCGCTTTAAAAAATGCATCTATGTTGGCATGGCAACAGATTGTAAGTATTCTTCCTCTGCTTCATATTCAAGGAGTGTTGGTTGGGGAAAGGTTTGGTTCAAGGAGATCACCCAGGCAGAAAAGAAAGCAGGAGTTCATGTGAAGGAAGGGAAGACACCTACCATGCCCACAAACTCCCCACTCACAGCCATCGCTGGGTGGTTTCCGTTCTACCCCTTTTACCACCTGGATACCCAACTCTCCAGGTATCCAGATAGTGGGTAGGGGAAGAGGTTGTTATACCTAGTACATTTGCAGGACTATTAGCAGCAGTCTGCGATGGAGATTACAAAGGAGAGGCCTGGTCCATTCAGCTCGTGAAGGTGTAATTTTATATACAACATTCATGTGGTAAGAGCCTCATAGACTAGTCCTAATATTTTTCCAAAAGCAGGAATTCCTTTTGTGGATGTTTTTAGAGACTGGGTATTGGCAGAACACATTGTGTTCAGAAATTTCTAAAGAATGTGAAGTTGAGCACTATTGCATGAGTCACCCTGCAGTTGGTTGTTTGTTATATTTTTAGACATAAAAATATTCCAAGCTGAAGTCGTCCTACCCCGTGTTCAGGAACCCACCCAGCACATGGTGGTGAGATTAGCCACTGGGTCTCTGCTCCCCACTCTGGTGCGAGGGGTTTATACCCGTCACTTGAATTAATCCAGCAGTAAAGTAATAAGCATGTCATTCAGAACGTGGCTTCCCTTTTGCCAGGAAGCAAGGTTAATAATTTCTACTGGCATAAATTTTTTGCACATCAGTGAAGGACTCCAACTTTAGTTTAAAAAAAGAAGTAAAAGAGAAAAAAGAAAAAAGAATGCAATGAGGATTTTTCCTCATGAAGGAAGAAATAGTCACAACTTGATATGTATGTGACAAACAGGAACCTCTCAGATAGAATAAAAAAATCTGTAGAATGTCCTGGTTTGTCCATTGAAGACAGAATGGGGAATCTTAAGACAGGAGCAGGGTTTGTTAGAGCATTAGACTGGGAATCCGGGGTTAATCCCCACCTCTGGCTAAGTGTGTTCTTGGTCTTTGTCTCTTAAAGGCATTTAGCTGTCTCCAGCCATACGCCTGGTAAGGACCTGTGAAAATCACTGACCTGCATGCAAACACTTAGATGTGTCAGATAATGAATTCTTCTTACTGAGTACCCATTCCATTGTTTCACTGAGAAGTTAAAGGTGAGGTTAAAAAACTCAGTGTTAATCTAGACTGGGTATTAATTCTGAGTGCGCCATACTTGCTTGTGAAGCATTATAAGAGGCTTTATAATCAGAAGAACTAGTGAGTCCCAGATCTACCACATCTTGGCTGTGTGACTCTCAGACATAACCTCATGTTCCCCTCTGTGAAATTACCATGGACCTGGCAGGTTGTTTCCAGGATTGAATTAGATAACACACTCCAAATGCCTCAATCCCCGGCACAGTGGAAGCATTTGGGAGACGGAGCTATGAGTATAGCCCCATTCCTCTTTTCCCTTTAATAAGTCAACCAATATGGGTTCATTCATATTTCCCACATGTGTAAATGCACAGATGACTTTTAATGAACCAATCAAATCTAGGTGATCTGGGGTTTCAATATTCTGTTTGCAGATTAGCTGAACACCATTGGTTCTCGTCCTCCTGCTGTTCGCTTTTTCTCTTTTCCTGCCAGGTCACACCTTCAAGAAATGGCCCCAGGACAGCGATGTTGTAGGACTGGGGTCAGGAATCCTGGGTTTTGCCTTGAACTTGCTGTGTGACTTTAGGCAAGTGTGATCTCTCTGGATTAACTTCCTCCTCTGTGAAAAGAGGAAGTCGGACTAAATATCTAAGGCTCTTTCCAGTTCTTAAAATACTGACTCTGTAGCTTAAAACTTGTGCCTTTCTTTTCCACCAATAGTTACTGAGAGTCCAGTGAAGTGATTTTGTTTTGGAAAATAACCACAGCAGTATAGGTTTCTTGTTACCTGCTCTTTTTATTTTCCTTTTACATAAATGATAAAAGCCATGGCTATATTTACTGAGTACTTGTAGTACAATATCTCATTGAATACCCTGTGAAGTGGGTATGATTGATCACATTTTATACAGGAAGAAATGAAAGCTCAGAGAGCCTAAGTGACTTGCCAGAGGTCACACAGCTAGAATGTGGTGGTATCAGAATTCAAACCCAGGCCATTCCATATTCCAAAGCCCGGGCTCTGGAACCCCCATTGCGGTGGTAGAGAGTAATACACCCCGAGCTCTCCTGAGGCCTGACACAGGCCCATCCACATTCCAATGAGCCCCGCAGGGAGCTAATGAAGAGTTGAGCCCTTTTTCCTCTAAGCAAGGGGTCATTAGCCTATTGTTTACTGCTCGAGAGCTTTTCTCCAACCTGAAGTTCTTACTAAGAGCCATTTGCAGGGAGAGGGGAGGAACAGAAACCCTGAGAGTGAATTCAGATGACCCTAGACCGCCTCCGCTGTGAACCTGTGGGTAGGCAAGGGTGTACCTCTCTCTGCATCATTCTTGTTTAGGGCCACCTTCTGTGGAGGTGGTCTGCTCAGTGTCCAACTCCCCCAGAGCTTTGTTTGAAAACTAGCAAGGCATTGGGAGTTTGAAGCAAAGGCTTACATTGGACAATGGCTGGTTAGCAACAACTTGCTGCCGAGGGGAGGAAATGCCCCTGTGTGACCCACTGTGCAGGACCCACTGGGCCATCTGTGCATCAGCGGTCCCCACCTGGGCCTCCCAGACATGCCAGCTGCCACGTGTCCAGTGGGGGGCCTCTCTATTTCATCTCTCTGTCCCCCTCTCCCAGTGGTACTGGATGACAGCAAGCGGCTGGCGAAGAGGAAGCTGATCGAGGAGAACCGGGAGAAGAGGAGGCGAGAGGAGCTGCAGAAATCCATTGGGCACAAGCCTGAGCCCACGGATGAGGAGTGGGAGCTCATCAAAACTGTCACCGAAGCCCACGTGGCCACCAACGCCCAAGGCAGCCACTGGAAGCAGAAACGGAAATTCCTGGTAAGGCTCGCCAGCGCAGCAGAGTATTGGCTGCATGCCCAGCGTTTTTTACTTCAACTCATCTAGTCCCCACGCCCCTGGGAGGCCCATGTGTTTGCCCCCGTTTTGTTGCAGCTCCAAGAAGTCAGGTAACTTGCAGAGCCAGGATTTGTATGTAGGTGTGTCTGAGGGCAAAGGTCACTCCTGCCATCTACAGTTTATGAGTTACTGAATTCTAACGCAGTTTATTAAGCCACATTCAATTTTGGTGTTGGGAATGCCAGCCCTGGATCAACTAATTAGTAAAATTCCCTACCTGCCAGCTTTCCCTTTTTATACCTATTTCTCCCCTCAGATGTCCATTTGTATACATACTTAGGCCCCTAAATTTACCCCAAATATCAACTTTAGAATAATTCCTAGAATGAAGTATCCCATATCTCAAATGTATTTTTGTATCAGCAATAGAAGTCAATATGTTTAACTTAAAATAGATTACCTTGAGTCCAGGAAGACAATGGGAATGGAGGGTAAGCATGGGGGGAATAGGAACTAGAGAGAAGAGACCTTTTCAGACCCTCAGATTATCGATTTTTGATGTTTTTATAAAACTAGTCCTGCCCATTTGCTTCTCCTTGGACCTCACAATGCTTTGGGGTAGATTAAAATTATGATCCCCGTTTTACAGACACACAAACCAAGCCTCAAGTGGCTTGCCCAAGATCACACTACCAGGAAGTGGGTGAACCAGGCCGAGAAGGTAACTCAGGTTTTCTGGTTCAGGTCCAAGCTCTCCACCCACCTCACCAGATGGGCCACTTCCACCCCCTACCACCAGCTGGTATTTGACCATGTCAGACACTGACCCTGCCCTCAGCTTATGACATAAACCTTTATAAGCACCTCACTGAACTCCAGCTTCAGACATTCCGGGGGTCTCTTTGCATTTCCTGGGTGCATTAGAGGGCTTCCCCTCCTGAACAGAAGGTATAGTGGGGACTGATGGGCTCCTGGAAGGCTGGCAAGGGGTGTGGCAAAGGAATCGAATCCTGCCCTGGTGTCCGAAGTGCACAGGCCACACTGGGCTCCAGGTCTGGGGGAGCTGTGGGGCTCCTGGCAGATCACTGTGTGGCAGTCCCCACAACTCTGAAAGACAGTGAAGATGTTTTGTTTTAAGCCACTAACTATTGGGGTAGTTTGTTACACAGCAGTAGATAACCAGAGCAGAACTCAATAAGTATTTGTTAAATGGAGCATACAATTCCCCCAGCCCATCCTCAGAGATGATATGATCAGGCCCTGTGTCTCAGCTAATTTATATACTTACATACACCCCTTGCAGAAGGGTGGCTTCCATTGACTATTTATGATCAGGATAAAAATGTCACTCTTTTGAGTGGTGAATTATTCCTGCAAGTACTTAAGAATCCTTCATTAAAGACAGCTTTATTAAATGGCACCTATGTCCTGAACAGTCTTCTACACATTAGATTTGCATCTCCTGTGTGTGGCTGATACCCTCTTCTTTGCTTACAGCATTGCTACACATATTAATTCATTTTATGTGATGATGGCCCATCTTGTTCTGAAAAAGAAGTTGAGGAAGCCTCTGAAGTTAATCATAGCATAGTAATATATCATAAGGGATTAAAAAGTATATGTTGTAAAAAGCTAGAAGCATTCATTTACCTGGAATGGGAAAGTCACTTACTCTCCAAAAGGAGCTTCGTCATTTTTCACCCTAAGACCAGGACTAAAGTTGGAAATAGAGATCTGTCATTTGACTTGGGTTTCAAATCTGTATTTGTGTCTGTGAAAATAAGAGTCTTTGGCAAATAAGGAACTTTTGCAGAAGCCATGCAGGTTTTCATAAATAACTCTAATGCCATTCTTTAGAACTACTTCCAAAGTATTTAAATGATATAATTTTCTAGTTTTCTCCAATCCACTCAAAATCTATGATGGTACAGAAGTGCCCAGTTTAACCACCAACAATCCATGTGTGATTGACAATGATGATGAAAAGTAGATGTGGACTGAGATGGGAACAAGGGACATTGGACACCAAGCGAGGGAAACAGTCTCTCTCCACCGAGGATGGCTCACATCTGCCCCTTCTGGGGTAGTGAGACATGTGGTTTGGAGTAAACTCCATGTAGGAACAATATACTCTGTTGACATTGTGTTATTCTGCACCTACAGAAAAAAATTAGTAGTAATAAATGCCCAAATGCCATACTAGTCATACACATTGGCCATCACATATGTTCAAATGAGGTAGACAACTTTTCAAACTGAGGTCATCTGGAAAGACTCCCAAGGAGAAGATAGAATTTGAGTTGAGTAGGACTTAGAATTGGCAGAGATGAGATGAAAGTGGGGACTTTGGAGAAAGAAAATCAGGAGGGAAGGCAGCCCTGAGATAAAAAAGTGCAAGTCAAGTTGGGGAGGAGACGTGAGGAGGGTGGCCAGCCTGGCTCAGGGGGTCCATTAGGGCCAAGTGCCGGAAAGTCAGAGTGAGAATTGGAAGCACCTATGAGCAAGCTAAGGCAGTTTGATCTGCAGAAGCAAAAAGCAAGTTTTCCCCACAGTCTCTACTCAGGAACTTGCAAGCCAGAGATGTATCGTCAGTATTTGAACTTGAACTCATGTGCATCTGTACATAGGTGTGTGTATGAGCAAACACCTTTCATTATTGTAAATTGCAAGGCTACCAGCTGTAATAAGATATGTAATAGATTCAAATGATGTCAAATATTTGTCTCTTTATTTTTAACATCTACTGAATATTCTAACAAATGATGTATTGTCCTCACGGGTGAAAAATCTTCAGGGAAGTCACAAACAAGTGTGTATTACTGAACCTTAATTTCTCAGACCTGAGGTGTTAACTCAGGTCATTTCATAGACTATGTTGTGTGGTGTGTGTGTGTGTGTGTGTGTGTGTTTTCTAATATCCAAGATCCATTATGGAGATAAACCTTAGTGATATAACAGAAGGTCTTTCCTTTGTATAAAGTTGTACTTCTAGCAATTGTATTTTCCATTAAATACCCAAAGGGTTAAAAGTAAATTTTTTTTCCAACTCTAATATTTATTTTTCACCAGAAAAGCTCGTGAGATTGTTGCATTTGGGGATTTTATCTTCATTAGAATTGCTGTAATTCCTTGTATAATTTCCCTCCTTTTTTTCAAACCTTTAGAGGTATCACAGGTGGTGATTCAAAGACCCCATGAATGCATAAATTGAATCGAAATGTTCCAGTCAGAATTAACCCATTGACATTTCAAAAAAAAACACTGAATACCATTCAGTATAATCAGACTAGATCTGACAGTGTTCAATGAGAAGATGTTTGGATTCAACCAGGCCAAAACTGCTATTAAAATACTTCCATTATTCTTATTTCTAAAAAATTCACCCTACAGTTATAAGTTTGAGTGTGTATCTATACATGTGGGTGTATAAAACTCCCTGCCTTTTTTAATGTTACCACGTTCCTCTTATCAGTTGATCTTTATAACAGACTTGTAAAATAGACGAGGCAGGTGAGATGAGCCTCATTGTGGTGGGGGTGGAGGTACTATAGAGACCAGAAAGGAGGTCTGAAGGATGCAGGGAGCCACAGTGTACAAAGGAGGAGCTGATGTACATTTTCTCTTAGCTCAGTCTGGGTGAGACAGAGAGATTGCACATGTGATTTTTCCATCAATTTCATCTGCAGCCCAGCAAGCAGAACAATAGCTCTCTGTGGGCTTGCCATGCCAACAGGTGCCCCAAAACACTGTCATTGATGATGATAACAGGACAGGAACCAGGTTTCTTTCCCATCCACTCACTGTTCTCAAAACAAACAATAATAAAATAAAATAAATCAAAGCACCAACTGGATAATCAAAAAGGTCAGTGCTGCCAGAGTTGGTTATATAATATATTTAAAAATTCTCTGCAGGCTGTAAGCAAGACTCCTACTTCACCCTTGGAGGGCCTGGGCTGCTCCCGTTGACCCTGGTGCCCTGGCAACAAGAGGCAAAGAATCATCCTTTGCTTTTCCTAGTGCTAAAAAGTAGGTATGAGCGGTTAACAGGGAGAGGTGGGAAGAAAAATGTGAAGTGGATCACCCTGAGCTGGACATGAGTACTGCTAGCCCAGAGGTCCTCAAGGTGTGGTCCCAGCCCAGCAGCATTGAGCCGGGGAGAATGGCTAGTCATGCTCCACCCAGACCTGCCGCATCAGAGGCTGGGGTGGCACCCAGCTGCTGGTGATTCTGATGCACAGTGGAGTCTGGGGACCAGGCCCAGGCCACAGGCTTTCACTGGCGGGGCCCTCACCACGCTGCAGGGGAGGAATGCAGCCCTGCCCAGCTCTCCCACAGCACCCACCACCCACACCTCCCACTCGGGCACCTTGTCTGTTCTCTGTGGCCAGCCTCAGCAGGATGAGTCTCTGGTCTCTTTGATCCCACTCACAGCTCCTGGAAGGCTGGCAAGGGGTGTGGCAAAGGAATCGAATCCTGCCCTGGTGTCCGAAGTGCACAGGCCACACTGGGCTCCAGGTCTGGGGGAGCTGTGGGGCTCCTGGCAGATCACTGTGTGGAGTCTGGGTGGCAGAGATCCTATCCTGACCTTGGGATTGTTCTTCACCTTCCCAAGCCCTCCTTTGCTCATCTGCCCAGAGGATATTGTGAGCAATCTCTGACATGATGCTCTGGAATTCCGGGGCTGGCTCACATGCAGGCTGCAGGTAAATGGTGGATATCATCATCACAAGTAAGGGCAACAGAGAGGATTGTCTGGCAGGAAGCACCAGTGACAACAGGAGATGCACAAGGGGCTGCATTGTGGCGGCCCCTGAATGCCTGCCTAGGGAGCTAACAGCTTCCAGGGACCATCAGAGAGCCTAACTAGAGCACAGCCCCCTGCAGCTGATTCCGCACCACTAAGCCTGGGGAGAGGGCAGGAGTCAGCATTTCTATCAAGTCCCCAGGTGACAACCAGCTGTCATGCCACCCTTTTTGCAGCAAGGTCGGATTGTTCTTGGGCAAATGAATGGCAGAGAAGTGCCCCAGGGCTGCTGAATACTAGTAGATTCCCCACCCTGCCCAAAAGTGTGCCCTGTGTGCACAGCTCCTTTCCTAGGGACAGCCTAGAGATCTTCCTCTTCAGCCTGCTGAGAACGGAGCCTGCAGGGCAGGCAGGAACTTCAAGTGGCACCTGGGCCCGAATCAAGAATAATCTGCAGGGTGTTGTTTGCCAGGGTGCCCCAGGCTTCTCCCCAGTCACTGCCCATCTGTACCCACCTCAATACAAAGGCACACAGTGGAATGTGGGATGTGCTGCAGGGGCCACTCCAGGGCCCCTTGAATGTATGTCACCTGGCTCAAGTATACAGCCTTTGTGCATTCAGAGTGGAACCCACATTCCTGTGGTTTCTTCCTCCCTCCCTGTTTCTCTCCCATGTCTGTCCTTCTGCAGCAGCGGTCCTGTGAACGTTAGCACCAAGGCCCTCTTAAAGCCGTGGCCAAGACATGTACCTTTGCTCAAAGAACTAGATGTGAAATCTGTTCAGTCTGTTCGCAATCAGTGTGAAAAGCAGAAACTGTGCAGTATGTCAGTTGAGAAGAGATGTTCTGCCGCATGAGAACTATGATAAAGATCCCTTCCACCTCTTCACATAAATCTTTCTTGTTTCCCTCCTTAGCCAGAAGATATTGGACAAGCACCAATAGTAAATGCCCCAGAAGGTGGAAAGGTTGACTTGGAAGCCTTCAGCCATTTCACAAAAATCATCACACCAGCAATTACCAGAGTGGTGGATTTTGCCAAAAAGTTGCCTATGTTTTGTGAGGTGAGGAAATTGTTTCTCCTTCTGGGTTGTTTTCCATTAGAGTTCCATCTATTTCCAGGAATACCTAGTATTATTTATAATTGAATATTCATTAGCAGGCACTTAGTCATATGAAAGGAATGTTAGTACAAAATGAAAATGCACTGTTTCATTTTACTTCCCCACCTCCCTTAGTCAGTCATCATTCATTAGCTTGTCCACATGAGGCCAACGAAGATCATCTCCATCCACCTGACTCCAGGCGCAGGGAAACAGGATGGCATCCTTGCATTCCCTCAGCATCTGCGGTGCCCCAGTTACCATGCTCAGCTTTGCCCACATTCAGTTCAATCCTTGTAACAGTTCTGCAGGCAGGATGTTTTTAATTAATCCCATTTTACAGATGGGGAGAATTTACATCAGAGAATGAGCTAACTTTTCCAAACATGGGGCCTTGTTTGGTGGTCAGTGTAAGTCTACATTCTTCCCACTATGTATCCCAGCCAGATGTGTGGTATTGTTTCTTAATTGTTGAGAATAAGTGACCCTCACAGAGCAAGGATCTTAATATCTCCTTAAACCTATCCTCTTGTTATAAACACAATCTTTCTTTCCCCATCTTCAGGACACCCTGATAAGCTCACCCACCGGACCTTGTAGACTTTCCCTTTGGGACACTTCATCACTAACTGGAGCAGTCCTACTGTGTGGTAGCTAAGAGCGTGGGTCCAGCAGCCAGCTGCATGGGCAAGAATCCTAAGTAGTTATTAAGTGTTTTCAGACCTTGGTTAGCTCATTTACCATGGGCATCATGATGGCATCTACCTCTTTGAGCTGTTGTGAGGCTTAAATGGGATAATATGAGCTTGGACAGTGCTTGGACAAAATTCTATAAATTTAAGCTGTTAATAATGCTATTGTTTCATCTATTACATTACCATCCTGCCTCCAACCTTCTTTTTGTAATCAAGTGGGGTTGATTATTTTCTGGAGAATTTTTCCCCTTGAAAACACCATCAGGTAGTTATCCACTGCTCTTCACATTTTCAAGGGAACCCAGAGAAAGACCAAATAGGGCCACAGACTTCTGTGAGCCTCTTACGTAAGTTCCCCAAGTGATAAGTGAATGTCATCCCACCTCGAAGGAAGCTGAGTTTCTTCTCCTCAAATGGGTCTGTCCTGCCTAACATAAAGACACTCCTTTGTGTCTGAGTTTGCAAGGGGAGCCTAGCTGTAGCCTGGGAGACCTTGAACTCTGAGAGGGACGCTTCCCATTACCTGTTTCCGAGCCTCCACGGCAGCCATACCAAGAAGGATGGAGCAGTGGGCATCAGGACCCCAAGACCTAGCTGAGAGTGTGCGCCTCCCTCACCCCTGCTTCACTGTGGTGGGGGGCGGGGCAAAGGGTGTGCTGACTGCCCCGGCCATGGGAACCACTCACTCCCCAGCCCCGAGGGCCGGCGAGCGCTGGAGAAGGAATTTTGACTTATATCTGTAGCTGGTGTGGAGCTTTCCATGCCTCTGACCATTTTTGTTTGTTTTTTAATTAACACTTGTTACAGTTTGGAAGGATATGATAAAAAGAATACGTATTCATGGGCGATTTGTACAGTATAATAAAGGTAATGATTTATGGTCACACCATCAAGAGATAGGCTGCTGATACTTTGGAGCCTATTTTAGTCTTTTTTCAAATATGTGTGTGTGTACAGATACACACACATAGATGTGAAATATGGAACATATTAATATAATTTATACTATAATGTACTTTCTACCTATGAAACTACTTTTTTACCTGTTTATTAAAGGGTAAGGCCCACATATCAGAAGGGTGCCACTCAGTGAATTTTTCACAGACTTAATGCACCCACATAATTAGCACCAAGATAAATACACAGAACATTACCAGCACCCTTTGTACCTGTTTACCGTCAACTGTAGAATACATCACTTAAGGATGCTTTCACGAGATAATTGTTAATGACCACATAGTCTTTTAATGAACAGATCTGCCATAATTTAGGTTATCTGCCTTCACTGAATCTTTAGCTCATTTCCCATTTTTCACTAATATAAATATTCTGCAGTGAACATTCTGATGCCTATGCCCTCACAACACTCTTTCCTAAGAGCAAATCCTATAAGTGGAATTTAAGGACCAAGGTATGTACATCTTTCAGGGCTTTCAATATGTGCCACCAAATTGCCATCAGGAAGGGGTGTACACTCCCTCTGTCTCGGGTACTTGTTCCCCTCTCCCTGGGTGTCCTCTTTCTCTTGTTCATTGCATTGTTTGTTTTCCTGGGCCTTTCTTGTTGCACACCTCCCAGTCCTTGGTGTCTGAAAGGGAACTATTGAATTTGCTATGCCCACAACTCAAGCTAGCCTGTCAGTCATGTGGTCCCCTTTGAATACCTACCCAAAATGTTTCTTTAGAAAATGTAAAGCTCATATAAGCCCACCACAGAGACATATTGCAGTAAAGAAAGGAAAGAAGCCATCACCACCACCAGGAGTGAACACACCGTGCAGCTCTGTCTGCGGCAGCAGTGAAGGTCCACATGGAATTTTTCAGCCATGGGTTGCAGTGAGTGTCTTTCTTCAAACTCCCCTCAGAAGTTTAAACCTGCTTCAAAGTCATGATTCTGCCTCTCTTTCAACCCTGATATTTTGTAGTCTCCAAATTGCAGAAGAAAAAAAGGGGGAGCTGCTTTCACAGCAGAATGCATATGATTGTGGTGTCTGTGGCCTCCTGAGGACCACTAGCTTTTGGCACTGTCCTTGGAACCCCCAAAGAGGGAAATGAACTGTGAGGGCCCCTGAGCTACTGTGGGAGTGGGTGGGAGATCCCAGATGGTCTCAAGAGCCAGAGGTGTCTTACCAGAGGCAGTTTGATTCATCTGCTGTTCAAATTGTGATCATGATAAGTTTCTGCTAAGACCCATGCCAAACCACCTTTGCAAATATCTAAAATATTGCTGGCAGAGCTGCCAAAAACACACATAGGAATCACTCATAGATTGCAGGGCACTGTCATCTTTGCCACTGACCCTGCATGATGTCCTTGCAAGGAGACAGGAAGAGGCAATGGGAGGGTCCCTGCATCTCTGCCTGTCACGCTCCTGTGGCACATTCTCACAGGTGTTTTGACAGGTGACTAAGATTATTTGCCCACATGTTGAAACAAATCTCACCAGGATCCTACAAACCTCTCTTAAAGGAAAAAAGTATATGGCCTAGTTTTTAAACCATTGGTGATCCTTGTAGATACTTAGCCAACTTTTATTTAAAGTTTAACTTATCAACACTTGAGTTTTAAAAAAGAAAACTTCTACAACATGTATAATCAGACTTGGCTGCAGAGGGGGCCTGCCAAGTTGGTGTACTTTGTGACACATTTTTTTAAATGGTTTGATGTAATCAGATCTGATTTCTCTTTGCTGTTTTATGCCTATGGTTCTCAAGAGTGGGGTACCCAGTCCAGCAGCATGAGCATCTCCTAGGAATTTGGAGAAGGCAGAAACTCAGAGGGTGGGGCCAGCAATGTGATCCTGAAGGCATGAAGCTGGAGTCAAACCCACCGCCCTAGGCATGAAAGCCAGCCTCCGCCGCTGCAGCCATTCTCCTTCCTACCTGTGAGGCAGCCATTCTCCTTCCTACCTGTGAAGGACCTACCCAAGCTCAGGCTTCTTCTTTCCTACCATGCTCTTGGGCCAGGAGTCCCCAGATGTGAATGACAAGTACAAATGAGAACCTAATTAAAGGAAATCACAGTCATTTTGTTTTAATGAGGGGAAGGAGAGGGTTCACATGTATGGATTCCATAGCCAAATATGAAATGACTTTTATTCTGTAACAAAAGCTAAGCAATTTGAGATTAAATGTAAGGTGGCTAGGTTGAGTTCATGAAAAATATGAAATACCAGTATTTGAAGTGAAATTCAGTAGTAGTAGTATTTTTATATAATAACCTAAGTCAACCCAGTTCAAATGTGACCAAGAGTATTTCTGAAAAGGAATTTGCACCTGCTTTAATGAAGAGATAGAAATTACATGTAATTTACAGAGTCATTGTGGAAACCTAGTTATTTCCAAAGTACTTCAGAAGAGTGTGTCCTCTTCCTTTCATGGCATTGAATTCTGACAGATCGAGCTTCAAATCCTAGCCTCACCCACAAAATATTGATGTGACTCCCTAGCATGTTACTCAACCTCTCAGTGCCTGGATTTCCACATCTGTAAACAAAATTACAATATTTATGTCACTGCATGGCTGTGAAGATTAAACAAACTGATGTATATGAATCAGCACGATACCCAATTCATCAGCAATACCCATTAACTAATAGCCTTTCAAACCATTTTGATAATGGCATTTAATTAAACATTCTCCCTCTCCAGAAAATAAAACCCTACTTTGTTTCATTGTTTTTCCCAGCAAAGTTCTTTTTTTTTAGTTTATTATTAATGTTAACACATTATCACAAATCCTAATTCACAGGACCACCCAGTGAGCTTAAAATGAGATTAGTACACTGACAGAGAGACACAGTGTGCAGGAGATGTGAACCCGGCCTCACCACTGCCCCTAACTCACTGGGTGACTTGGGCAAAGCTACACCTCTGGGCCTCATGCGTAACACGCATCTGTGAAAGATCTTCCAGGTCTTTGCCCCTTAGAGCCTCAAGGAGTAAAGTTGCTCAAAAAAAACCCAAGAGAGGCACAGTCACCAGCTAAACAGGCTGTTGACTAATAGAGCTACAGGACAAAAATGTTGGTAAGTTTAACATAAACCCTACTTTTAAGCAGCTATCAACTGGTGTTATAATACAAACCCTCAGAGTAAGGAAGTAGTTTCACACATGACTGTAATACCATCATGAGATCTATATCCATCATAAAAGAAATGCAAACAACTGAGATTATAGTTAGTGAAGATTATGACCAACTTGGAGTATGGATAATGGTTGTTGAACATTTGCAGCCAAGTAGGAAGGGAACGTCCACGAACTCAGAGGGTGCAGGGCTGATGTTGATCACAGGAAATTCTGCTGCCATTAAGATACCCCGTGTCCTTCCTGATTGACATTTGTCCACTCGTTCTTTGCTGATGTGGGCTGGTTCTTTTCAGCTGCCATGTGAAGACCAGATAATCCTCCTCAAAGGCTGCTGCATGGAGATCATGTCCCTTCGCGCTGCTGTGCGCTATGACCCAGAAAGTGAGACTTTGACCTTGAATGGGGAAATGGCGGTGACACGGGGCCAGCTGAAAAACGGGGGTCTTGGGGTGGTGTCAGATGCCATCTTCGACCTGGGTATGTCGCTGTCGTCTTTCAACCTGGATGACACAGAAGTAGCTCTCCTTCAGGCTGTCCTGTTGATGTCTTCAGGTGAGTATGCCCAGGCTTGTTACTGGGCATCAAAAGCGCTTTGGCTTGTCTGGTGCTGATTCAGATCATTTGATGAGTTTCCAGTCCCCCATCAGCTTCAAAATCAGCTCACTCTCCTTCATCAGGCAACTGGAGGTTTGCCAGTGAGCTGGGAACCAAGGAGGGTGTCAGGTATCTGAGGCTTTTGGCAGACTCCCAGCATAGTGGGGAAGCCACAAAGCAGCCATCTTAAAGACTCTATGGAATGGCCCACCTTCCATGAACACTACCCAGCCTGCCCTCTTCCAGTTCTGTGCACACAGGCTCTGGGTAGGTGTCACCATACTATTCTACTCATGGCTTAGCTACAAGTTAAGTTTCAGTTATTTATTGCTATATATAGCACACCACTCCAAAACTTCATGGCTTAAAACATCTAGGGTGGCTGGCGTTGGGGCTGAAGCATCAAACACAGCTTCAAGCCTCTCTCCATGCAGCCTCTCCTCTGACAGGGTAGCTGGCCTCTTACATGACTGGTGGAGTCCAAGAAAGAGAGTTCCAAGCACACAAAAGCAGAAGTCACAGATCTCTTCAGGCCCAATGTTAAATCATACAGCGTCACTTCTGCCATATTCTATTGGTCCAAACTAGTCCCAGCACCAGCCCAGACCCAAGAGTCCACCTCTCAATGGGAGGAATAGAGAAGAATCTGCAACAGTGTTCAACCTGCCATAGTTCATTATCAAGACCTTTAATGTCCATCAGTGAAGAATGGATAATAATACTGACAGTTATTTGGGATTATGTTATAATAAATTTTAAAAATGCAGAACATATCAGACTCTAAGGAAAGCTAGTCTTTCAATAGAAAGTGATGTCAGAGCTACCTCTGCATTTTCAGAGCACCTTGAGTTTACCTGTGCTCAGCACATATCCCATCTAGCTCTCTGCCTAACTTGGCCATCTCTCCCTCTACCCTATTTATTTTTTGAGACATATCTCTATATGTCTAGATGTATACTTAGCACTTAGGCTAGTGTTTAGTAAAATTTGAGAAGTGTTTGTTGGATAAATGAGTGAAATATGGGTAAAATATCAGTCACAAGTACAAGAAGAATCCTTTACAGAGTTGATCCCAGATAACTCAGTAGAATTCCTTTTTTTCAAGCTGATCTAGAAACTGATTTGATACAGAAAATTCAGTATGGCAGACTTTTTTTAAAAAGAAATAATTCCTTTTGTTACAGAAAACCTCAAACATAGACTAAAATAGATAGATCTTAGTAGAATGTACCCTTCTATATACCGTGGTGGACAGGCCTTAGGCAGCCCGCCATGTTCCCCACGTCTGATGTTCACAGCCTTGTACAACCCCCTCCTGTGGAGTGTATGCAGAACCCGTGGCTTGCTTTAATAGAATTTGGAGAATCCAATGTCACCCACACATAACTGTTACATAATGTTATGTAAGATTCCCTCTCACCAGCAGACGGGCTCCAGAGACTCACCTCGCTGGTGTGATGCAGGGAGAAAACGGGCATGCTGTCCTTACATAGAATTATTCTTAAAGTAAAAAAATGTGTAATTACCTAAGGACTCCCTCTGTGACCTTATGGACCCCCTAGCATCTCTGGGCTTCAGTGTCCTTTAAAATAAATTGAACTAGACAAGTGATAATTATATTCCTGGAGTGGGGATTCAAGGTAAGTTTTAGCTAAGATTTTATGGGTACAAAGGCGTACAAAGACAGTTTTAAATACTGTTAAGTCACAGATTGAGAAAGCTATTTCTTTTACAACTTTATTTCTGTTTATATCTCCTCTGAATAAGGAAGGAGAGGGGGTCAGTTTGGTGTTAGTCTGCCTCTAACACCCCTCCAACACTTGCTAACCTCCCTCCTTAACAAAGAGAGTGGATCTCAGGCATAGTCCTCAGCAAGAACTTCAGCTAAAAGTTAATATAGTTTTTTGCATACATCCATTTTTGTGGCTATCTTCTATTTATGGCAAATGGATTTTCATTTACTGAACAATATGATGCTTCCTCTGTTGTGAGTCAGTTTAGCAGATTACTAAGTGAATCAGCGAGGAAGATAAAGACAGCATGTGGAGATGGCAAACGTAAATATGATGACCAAACTCTATCAGACACTTGACTAAATGATTCTTCCCAATTCTCTGATGTTTATGCTGCTGTACACTGCCTGGCAGTCATGTAACATGCTTAGTACAGTTTTTAAGTCTTTTCTACCCTAGTGACCTGGACACTTTCATTAATACTGCCAGGACCAGAAAAACATAATTCAAGACACTTTAGATTTGGCGAATAACAGCTGTGTATGCACAGTTCTGAGACCCCAGTTCTGCCCCCTCATTGTCCCCTGTCTCAGGCCTTTTTTTTCCAAGGCCTCCCCCTGGAGCTACTACCGCTGAGGGCTTTGGTCATGCAAGGATAAGAGAGAGATCCAAAAGAAATATCTTTCAGAAATTTTGTTTTAAAGAGTTAAAAGCAGTCTTTGCCCTTTAAAATGTTTCTTCCTAAACATGTTTAGGGTGACTTGAGCATCATCAGAATGTCACTTCATTTTCTCTCTATCATTTATATGACCACCTTGTCTTTGTCTCACAGCAATGGATAGTTCTGATGCCACAAAACCCAGGTTATTTTTTTTCTCTTTGAAGGAGCACATCCAGAGCTTCGTAATGTTGATTTTCTATTTAGAGCACAAGTTAAAGGATCCTGTGCAGAATTGTTCTGGGACATTCAAAGAAAGAGAGAAGATGGAGAGAGGGAGAAACAGGGCTTGAGTAGCTCCACAGGGCAGCGTCATCAAATATGAAGGAAAACAGAATAAAAATGCACAAGTTACAATTTGAGCTGAACAGGGTATTAAAGCCCATATATTTTGTTTAAGCTCAAGAAGGGTGGATTGGGACATTAGCCCTGATTCTCCTTCAGATTAAGCAGAAACTGATTTAGGTTTTTGCTAATATAGATACTTCAATAAATGGACACTTGAAGTGTGGATTTATTTGATCAGACCTATAAAAAGCAAACTGAGGAGAACTTTGAATGCTTCAAAGCTGTAGGAAGAATTCATACAGGTTTATAGATTACTTTTTTAAAATTTATTTTATTGAGGTATAACTGATATAACATTATATTATTTTCAAATGTACCTCATAATGAGTTGATACTTATTTATATTGCAAAGTGATCACTTCAGTAAGTATAGTAAACATCCATCCCCACACATAGTTACAAAAATTCTCTGTCTTGTAATGAGGACTTTTAAGACCTATTCTCTTAGCAACTTTTGAATATGTAATTCAGTCTTATTAACTATACTGACCATGCTGTATACTGCATCCCCATGACTTATTTATCTTATATCTGAGAGCTTGTACCTTTTTAACCCTTTCACTCATAACACCTACCCTCCACCCCCAGCCTCTGGAAATCACCAATCTCTTCCTGTATCTATGAGCTTGGGTTTATTTGTTTGTTTTTTATATTCAACATACAGTAAGATCATACGGTATTTGTCTTCCTCTGTTTGACTTATTTCATTTACCATAATGCACTGAAGGTCCATCCATGTTGTGGCAAATGGCAAGATTTCATTCTTTTTCATGGCCAAGTCATAGTCCATTGTATATATGTACCACCTCTTCCTTATCCATTCATCTAAAGATGGACATTTAGATTGTTTCCATATCTTTGCTATTATAAATAATGCTGCAAAGAACATGGGGGTGCCTATATCTTTTCAAGTTAGTGGGAGTTTTTCTCAGATAAATATCCAGCTGTGGAATTGTATTTTTAATTTTTTGAGGAACCTCCGTACAGTTTTCCAGAGTGGCTGCACCAATTCACATTCCCACCAACAATATACCAGGGTTCCCTTTTCTCTCCATTCTAGCAAACACTTCTTATCTCTGTCATATTGATAATAGCTATTCTAAGAGGTTTAAGGTAATATCTCATTATGGTTTTGATTCACATTTCCCTGATGATTAGCAATGTTGAGCATCTTTCATGTACTTGTTGTCCATTTGTATGTCTTCTTTGAGAAATGCCTGTTCATGTCCTCTGTCCATTTTTTAATTGGATAGTTTGATGTTTTGCTATTGAGTTGAATGAGTTATTTATATACTTTGGATGTTAACCTTTATCAGATATGTGATTTGAAAATATTTTCTCCCATTCAGTAGGTTGCCTTTTCATTCTGTTGATGGTGTCCTTTGCTGTGCAGAAGCTTTTTAGTTTGATGTAGTCCCACTTGTTCATTTTTGCTTCTGTTGTCTTTGCTTTTGGAGTCAGATCCAAAAAATCATCACCAAGACCAGTGTCACGGAGCTTACCACCTATCTTTTCTTCTAGGAGTTTTATGGTTCCCAGTCTTACATTCAAGTCTTTAATCCATTTTGAGTTAATTTTTGGGTATGGTGTAAAATAGTCATTTTCATTTTTGTGAAAGTGGGTGTTCAGCTTTCCCAACACCATTTATTGAAAAGACTGTCCTTTCTCCATTATATATTATTGGTTCCTTTGTCATAAATTAATTGACCATATATGTGTGGCTTTAATTCTGGGCTCTGTATTCTGTTCCATCGATCTATGTGTCAGTTTTTACACCAGGACCATACTGTTTTGATTAACATAGCTTTGTCATATAGTTTGAAATCAGAAAGAATGATACCTCCAGCTTTGTTCTTTCTCAAGATTGCGTTACCCATTCAGAGTTTTTTGTGGTTCCAAACAAATTTTAGGATTGGTTGTTCTACAAAAAGTCCCATTGTACTTTTGATGGGGATTGCATTGAGTCTGTAGATTGCTTTGGGTAGTATGGACATTTAAACAATATTAATTCTTGCAATACATGAGTATGGCATATCCTTTCATGTGTTTGTGTCATCTTCAATATCTTTCATCAATGCCTGATAGTTTTTTCAAAGTACAGGTCTCTTATCTAGTTATTAAAGGTTTCCATAGGTTTTTATTCTTTCTGATGCAATTGTACATGGGGTTGTTTTCTTAATTTATCTTTCTGGTAGTTCATTATTAGTGTGTGGAAATGCAACAGATTTTTGTAAATTGATTTCATATCCTCCAATTTTACTAAATTCATTTATTAGTTCTAACAGTTTTTGGTGGCGTCTTTAGGGTTTTCTATATAAAATATGTCATCCATAAATAGTGAAAGTTTTACTTTTTCTTTTCCAATTTGAATGAATTTTATTTCTTTTCCTTTCCTAATTACTTTGGCTATGGCTTCTTGTCTTATTCCTAATCTTAGAAGAAAAGTTTTCAGCTTTTCACCACTGAATGTATTAGTTGTGAGCTTGTCATATATGGCCTTTGTTATGATGAAATGTGTTTCCTCTATACCCACTTTTGTAACACACGTGTTTTTGGCAGCCCAAATGTACCCCAGTCCTCTAGCCTTCTCATGACATCCCTTTATCATTTTTTTGAAACTGCCTGTGTCCCCTCCCACATATCGTGGTCCTCCCAAGATTTGGGAAGATTTCTCAGGTTTTATGTGGTCATGGTCTCCTCTAGCTCTGATTTCCACTGTGGAAATCTTCTCTTCTCTACATAGGGTGACATCCCTCTTCTTTTCATTTTAACTCCCCCAAAACACCACCAACACAAAGTTACTACAGGTAGCAATTTTACTAAAGGTATAAAGGAAGGGGAAGAGTGGGTCCATTACAGCCTAGTAAACAGCTAAAAATGGATATTGTGCCTCCTTGTCCTCGTGAGAATTTCTTTCTACTTGACATTCCTCCTTGGCATCTAGGCCTCCTCCTGTTCCCAATCTCTTTTCACATCTCCCCCTCTCTGCTTATCCTCCCCTCTTTCCTCGGCAGCCAGTAGAAACTAAAAACCTTTCCCTCATTATGCAGAATATTTCAGCTCTCTAGTCAAGGCTTCTCCTTCTGTACCCTGGTAGGAGGCACCGCCATTCACACCCATGAGGTGATTTCTCTAAACCAGAGATATTAATCTGTACAAAGTACTGACTCCCTTCATGTAAGTTATGCCACTCTCTGGTATCTTGGGCACTGATGCCCAGACTTCATGTTGCATCCATGCTCATTTCTAACAGTTGAAAAGCCCCCAGATCTGCCCACATCACACTAAAGGGCTTGAACTTCACAAGGCAAGCCTTCTCCTTTCTACGTCTGAATTAACTTCCATCTTATTTCTTCTCCTTAGATCGCCCAGGGCTCGCCTGCGTTGAGAGAATAGAAAAATACCAAGATAGTTTCCTGCTGGCCTTTGAACACTATATCAATTACCGAAAACACCATGTAACACACTTTTGGCCAAAACTCCTGATGAAGGTGACAGACCTGCGTATGATTGGAGCCTGCCATGCCAGCCGCTTCCTGCACATGAAGGTGGAATGCCCCACAGAACTCTTTCCCCCATTGTTCTTGGAAGTGTTCGAGGATTAGACTGACTGACTTCATTCTCATAATTCCTACAGCACTACTGGGTGTCATTTCATTCCATTGCCTAGCTCTTTTTTGTTTGTTGCTTTGTTTCTTTGTATTGGGAGGGATTGTTTGGGGTCAAAGGGAGGTAGTTCTTAGCATAGACATGGATGAAATTGCCCCTTGAATTGCGGGTACTTGTAACTATTGCATTTTGTTCTCTAGTCCTTTGATGTGAATGCTTTGAAGGTTTTACAGTTGTGGAGGTAGGGTGGGGACAATCATTAATTCACCAGCACCAAGCCATCACCAGCTCCCATCTGGTCAGAGACTCAAGCAAGCAAAATGGCACAGCAGAAGACTAAAGAAGCCTTAAAACCAAGATAATATGGTCAGCTTGATCCAATCCTGATTTTTCAGGCTCAGATTAGCATGGCACAGACCACCTTTAGTTAGAAGTAGCTTTCAGCTTCTTAGGGAAAGCTCTGAAAAATTTTGATTTATTCAAGAGCATGTTGTTCACAGCACTCTTCATTCTCAACTAGCTGCATAACTGGGAATGTATAAGAATGTTTGTTCCTGAAAAAAATCAGCTGTCTTTTCACTGTAATTTCTATGATCCTGTGATTTAATTCAAGCTATACAACATTGTGACTCAGAGATGTGCAGGTACTTGACTGATTGAGGCCAATAAGGACAATTTTCTTCAATGAACCCAAAGAAATTAGTCTTTAGGGTTTTCTATATAAAATATGTCATCCATAAATAGTGAAAGTTTTACTTTTTCTTTTCCAATTTGAATGAATTTTATTTCTTTTCCTTTCCTAATTACTTTGGCTATGGCTTCTTGTCTTATTCCTAATCTTAGAAGAAAAGTTTTCAGCTTTTCACCACTGAATGTATTAGTTGTGAGCTTGTCATATATGGCCTTTGTTATGATGAAATGTGTTTCCTCTATACCCACTTTTGTAACACACGTGTTTTTGGCAGCCCAAATGTACCCCAGTCCTCTAGCCTTCTCATGACATCCCTTTATCATTTTTTTGAAACTGCCTGTGTCCCCTCCCACATATCGTGGTCCTCCCAAGATTTGGGAAGATTTCTCAGGTTTTATGTGGTCATGGTCTCCTCTAGCTCTGATTTCCACTGTGGAAATCTTCTCTTCTCTACATAGGGTGACATCCCTCTTCTTTTCATTTTAACTCCCCCAAAACACCACCAACACAAAGTTACTACAGGTAGCAATTTTACTAAAGGTATAAAGGAAGGGGAAGAGTGGGTCCATTACAGCCTAGTAAACAGCTAAAAATGGATATTGTGCCTCCTTGTCCTCGTGAGAATTTCTTTCTACTTGACATTCCTCCTTGGCATCTAGGCCTCCTCCTGTTCCCAATCTCTTTTCACATCTCCCCCTCTCTGCTTATCCTCCCCTCTTTCCTCGGCAGCCAGTAGAAACTAAAAACCTTTCCCTCATTATGCAGAATATTTCAGCTCTCTAGTCAAGGCTTCTCCTTCTGTACCCTGGTAGGAGGCACCGCCATTCACACCCATGAGGTGATTTCTCTAAACCAGAGATATTAATCTGTACAAAGTACTGACTCCCTTCATGTAAGTTATGCCACTCTCTGGTATCTTGGGCACTGATGCCCAGACTTCATGTTGCATCCATGCTCATTTCTAACAGTTGAAAAGCCCCCAGATCTGCCCACATCACACTAAAGGGCTTGAACTTCACAAGGCAAGCCTTCTCCTTTCTACGTCTGAATTAACTTCCATCTTATTTCTTCTCCTTAGATCGCCCAGGGCTCGCCTGCGTTGAGAGAATAGAAAAATACCAAGATAGTTTCCTGCTGGCCTTTGAACACTATATCAATTACCGAAAACACCATGTAACACACTTTTGGCCAAAACTCCTGATGAAGGTGACAGACCTGCGTATGATTGGAGCCTGCCATGCCAGCCGCTTCCTGCACATGAAGGTGGAATGCCCCACAGAACTCTTTCCCCCATTGTTCTTGGAAGTGTTCGAGGATTAGACTGACTGACTTCATTCTCATAATTCCTACAGCACTACTGGGTGTCATTTCATTCCATTGCCTAGCTCTTTTTTGTTTGTTGCTTTGTTTCTTTGTATTGGGAGGGATTGTTTGGGGTCAAAGGGGGGTAGTTCTTAGCATAGACATGGATGAAATTGCCCCTTGAATTGCGGGTACTTGTAACTATTGCATTTTGTTCTCTAGTCCTTTGATGTGAATGCTTTGAAGGTTTTACAGTTGTGGAGGTAGGGTGGGGACAATCATTAATTCACCAGCACCAGGCCATCACCAGCTCCCATCTGGTCAGAGACTCAAGCAAGCAAAATGGCACAGCAGAAGACTAAAGAAGCCTTAAAACCAAGATAATATGGTCAGCTTGATCCAATCCTGATTTTTCAGGCTCAGATTAGCATGGCACAGACCACCTTTAGTTAGAAGTAGCTTTCAGCTTCTTAGGGAAAGCTCTGAAAAATTTTGATTTATTCAAGAGCATGTTGTTCACAGCACTCTTCATTCTCAACTAGCTGCATAACTGGGAATGTATAAGAATGTTTGTTCCTGAAAAAAATCAGCTGTCTTTTCACTGTAATTTCTATGATCCTGTGATTTAATTCAAGCTATACAACATTGTGACTCAGAGATGTGCAGGTACTTGACTGATTGAGGCCAATAAGGACAATTTTCTTCAATGAACCCAAAGAAATTAGAAATCTTTGTGAAGGTCAATGACTCAACAATTTCCAAAAATCCACATAGTATTACCTCATCCTAGGAGGCTTCTTTACAGTGTAGTCTCAGAGAAAATTTCCACAGAAATCAAATCTATTTACAGAATGTTGTCACTTCTCAGTGACATGGGATCCATTATCTCCCAAACTCCTGAAGTTATTTCTCCTGATTGCATCTTTCCTGTGCTGACAACAGTTTCCCCTGGGTCAAATCTAATCGAGGAGAGATAACAAGCTGAAATTTGAATTTTTCTCTGGGGCAGTTCTGAGGAGAGAGTAGTGAGGTACCACTCTAAGTTGAAGGAAATGCAGGGTGCCGAGAGCCTCTTCAGGTACAGAGGGTTTGAGGAGGCTTCCTTAGATCCTTAGGCTCTCTGCTCAACGCATGAATGTTTCCTAGTACCATTTTTCCTCAGATTCTTAGGCTCGACTATTGCTAAACAAAGACTGGCCTGGCCACTGACCCTCTCTGTCCCTATAGCACTGCCCTGGCAGATACCCAACAGAAAACACCTGCAGACAGTGTAATGAACCCTCACTCACCTCTCTGCCTCACCCACCTCCCCGGTGACAAACACGGAGTGCTTGTGCCTAGAAAACAAATGGTGACCCCCCCACTGGCTTCAACATCAGAAAACAGGCACTGGATGTCCCCACGCAATTGAATGTATCTCATTTTTCACTGGCATAGTAGACAAAGACTATTCCTTTGCCTGCCTTGAACTGCCTTATCTTGGAAATATTGGGGAAAATAAGCCATATCAGTGAGATTTACCTAAAAACAAAGGCATGTAAGTCACTGTGAAAACCCAGTGAGCTAATTCTTTTTAAACTGGCTCAGAATTCAGGATGTCTGAGTTCTAGTTTGTGCTTTATCAACTGGTAGATTTGTGACCTGTGGGTCTGGGTTTTTTTATCTATTGAATAAGTCATGAACTCTAAAATCTTACCCATTCTTAATATTGTACTGATTTCAGGGGTGGGAGGAGTGAGAATCTGGCTCTTCTGATGATTTCTTTCATATTCAAATTTCTAACTTTATTAGAAATTATCACCCTCGTCACAGTTAAGGAAAGTATATTTGGTATTGATTCATAATAAGAATTTGACACACTCATCAACTATTTAGAGAAAGGTAGGATGACCTTGGAAGAGGGAGAGGAACCGCTTTGAAAATCCCAAGTATGACTGGAAAAAATCTTGGAAGAAAGTATGTTTTATGCACTAACGCAATTATACCAGCCTCTGGAAAAAAAGAGACAAGGACATTGCTATGGAACTTGCTAACCAGAGAAAGGATGCAGTGAAGTTCATGGGCAGATTACTTGCTTTGAAGATTGTTTGTTTGTTTTGGTTCTGTTTTCCTAGGCAGCCTCTAGCCAGTCACCCTAACTTCTTGCTTTGTTAACATCTCAGCTTGCCCTGTTGACTCTCCTCGGAGAACTACTCTTTGAAACATAACTGCATAATCACCATCTACGCTCCAGGGTTACTCTGAGAAGCTTTGTGGTGTGGGGCAAGTTTCCCCCCAGAAGGGAATGAGAGGAAGGCATGAGGGGCGGTGGGGATTGGAGGGTTCATAGATGAGTTGAATATCATGTCTTCCTAGGAAAGTGTCCTCAATTTGACAGAGATTCTGTAGTACATCAGACACACCCAGATTCAAATATAAGTACAGAGCCTACTCTAAAGCTAAACTGGAATGCTTTGAGGATTAACCATGATTGGGCACTGGCCAAATACTGTAGTATATCTACAGTAACCCAGCCAGTCCCAAGTAAATTTATGTTTGATCCTCAGCTCCTTAAAGGATTGCCTTAAACAGGCAAATTGCTGATCTAAAAATCTTGTTGAAGACTGAATACTTTATAGTGAGCAGAACAAGTCTCCAGGTACTTCAGGTTGAAATGAAAGGTTACAAGGACTTAAAGCACCCCAGTGGTCAAGTGATTCATTTCCTCTGTAACTGATTAGGGTACTTAGTGCATCTCAAGGCTCCATCTCCTAAAACTCAGTTAGGAAGGATTTGCTCTGGATTTTTTCAAAACCTTGTTTCTTACTGTCTTCACTTTCAAATCAAGTGTGGACCTGATGGAAACCCCTCATGGTGGGGAGACATCCCAGGAGAGGAGAACACACCCGTGCAACCGGGATTCTTATTTATAAATTACTTAACTTTTGGGGATGAGTGGTATGGTGTGTGTGTGTGTGTGTGTGTGTACTCTTCAACTGAGACATGCAGTATTTCCAGAAATAGTGAAAAAGTAAGAACTTTATGATTCTACTCAAAACACCATGTGCCGCCTCAGAGCTTTTTCTAGTTAAATGAGCCTCGGTCCTCAAGGACGTGCTTGCCGGGTTGATGCCTCAGCCCAGCGATGCACCCTCACCTGTGCCCCGAGTGACACCTCTTCCGTCTGCAGCGTGGTCATCCAGGTGGACCGCCAGGCCCAGCTCTGCTCCAGCAACGCCATTGTCATTGCTCTTCCGTGATCAGGTGTGCAAACCTCGGCCACTCCTCAACACTAAGCCCCCACAGACTCAGCCTCCATGGGACTGCTGAGCACCCTCAAAGCATGTCATTGTCAGTGATACATTTTTTATTCTATGGAACTCTAACCTATTGGTGTCATATTGACCTTTTGCTGCATGAGTCATGAATTGTGAAATCGGTCTTATGGTTTTTGAAATGTAGCCAGCGTTTGTAAGGCTAAACCTTTCTCACAAACTGAATTTAAGTGAACCACCAAGTCACAGATCCTCTCCCAAAGGAGAGTCCTTACAGACATTTGAATCCCTTGTCCTTTCCAACGGCGGTGGCATCAGGTTCTAAAATAAGCTCATCA